ATTTTTAGTTCCCAGGATTATTAGGGAGTACCCAGGAATACCACATTCCTTCCAGGGGCTGGTACTTAGTTCTACGTGGGTGGGTCTCTGATGTCCCTCTTGATCATTGGAAAGACTCCTCTGTGTGTTGTTAGTCGTTTGTCTCCTTCAATCTCTCTGGCTTCATTAGCAGCTTGGTCTTCTGCCTCATTTCCTTCGATTCCAACATGGCTTGGATTCCACTGGATTTTTCATGTGGCTCTGGCTTCACTGAACTTGCGGCGCAAATCACTCATGTCCGAGCTGTTGCCTAGCAGCCCCTTGCAGAGGGACTGACTGTCAGTCAAGATCAGCACATTGGTCCAACTGTGGCAATTGTCAGCAATCCATTGTGCAGCAGACATCATTGCCCGGCATTCCTCGTCATAAGATGACGTAAGGAATGCACCTTTATTTTAATAATTTCTGTTCGTGTGCTGCTGCTGCTGCTGCTGCTGCTGATGATGATGATGCTGCTGCTGCTGATGATGATGATGACTGTTATTTTAGTAGTTACTGTCATCAATCAGCACCAGTCGTTCTCACCCCGTCCCGGTGTAGCAGAAAGCCAGAATGACTCTCACTCTAGACAGACTCTCGACCTAGAGTCAGATTGGCGGCCGCCAGAAACACTTAAATCTTACTCTTCTCTTCACGCCAAAACCACTCTACTAAGGGAAATAACTCGCACTTGAACACTTCAATCAACCCAGATTTTGCTGCTGATTAATCGTCACAAATCTGATGTTTTCAGAGCCCTTCCTGGTTGAAATAAAGGCTAGATTAATTACCTCTTTTTAAAAAAGGTTCCAAGCTAAGCGACAACTCCCCCCCAACCCCCCCCTCCCAACAACCTCCAAACCAGCATACCACCTTTTGTCCTTTTGAAAATACATTTCTGTGTGGATTTTAGTGAAAAATGTTCATTAAACGCACAAATAGGGTAAATTGTCAGTTTCCAAGTATTCTCAAGCTTTGGAAATCACCAAACTTTGACGGCCATTTTCTCGCTAATTTCATCCCTGAAACCAGGCGAGCCCCATGTTCTTCCATGCAAATACTTTGACATCTATTCTACTTAGATATTTTTTCACAAAAAGCAAGGCAAATGAATAGGCTTTAAGATGGTACCAGTAACCCCATATGCCCAAAAATTGACGAACGCCTGGTTCCACCATGTCGCGACACACACACACACACCCACACACACCCACACACACACACACACACACACACACACACACACACACACACACACACACACATATATATATATATATATATATATATATATATATATATATATATATATATATATATATATATATATATTGAACGTCAGGATAAAAGACCAGTTTTTTCCCAAATTGTAGTTAATACATAATATTAGTTATTTTCCCCCAAATGATTAATTATGTTTCAAGCTTTGACGTTTTAAGTTTATTGTTTTTGTTTAATTGATGTATGTACATATTTGCTCGAATTATGTATAGGCCTAAAATTTATGAAATTGTTTACATTATTTCCATGAAAAGAATGCGATGGTTTTTCTGCATGGTAGATCTAAGTTAATTTGAGGTTCAGTATATACATGGATTTAGGTAAAATTTTCAGGATTGCTTAGTAATCACACACGAAACAATACAAATTTCAGAGCACAACTTAGCAATCGAATAGAGGTTTGCATTTTGCATCTTTGAGATCATTCAATTCTCATTTTGACTGAGCACGTT